GTCATTGGCTGCTTATAATGTGGGTTCCTTGGATAACACGTCATTGGCTGCTTATAATGTGGGTTCCTTGGATAACACGTCATCGGCCGCTTATAATGTGGGTTCCTTGGATAACACGTCATTGGCTGCTTATAATGTGGGTTCCTTGGATAACACGTCATCGGCCGCTTATAATGTGGGTTCCTTGGATAACACGTCATTGGCTGCTTATAATGTGGGTTCCTTGGATAACACGTCATTGGCTGCTTATAATGTGGGTTCCTTGGATAACATGTCATTGGCTGCTTATAATGTGGGTTCCTTGGATAACACGTCATTGGCTGCTTATAATGTGGGTTCCTTGGATAACATGTCATTGGCTGCTTATAATGTGGGTTCCTTGGATAACACGTCATCGGCCGCTTATAATGTGGGTTCCTTGGATAACACGTCATTGGCTGCTTATAATGTGGGTTCCTTGGATAACACGTCATTGGCTGCTTATAATGTGGGTTCCTTGGATAACACGTCATCGGCTGCTTATAATGTGGGTTCCTTGGATAACACGTCATTGGCTGCTTATAATGTGGGTTCCTTGGATAACACGTCATTGGCTGCTTATAATGTGGGTTCCTTGGATAACACGTCATTGGCTGCTTATAATATTGGTTCCTTAGATAACACGTCATTGGCTGCTTATAATATTGGTTCCTTGGATAACACGTCATCGGCTGCTTATAATGTGGGTTCCTTGGATAACACGTCATTGGCTGCTTATAATGTGGGTTCCTTGGATAACACGTCATTGGCTGCTTATAATGTGGGTTCCTTGGATAACACGTCATTGGCTGCTTATAATGTGGGTTCCTTGGATAACACGTCATTGGCTGCTTATAATGTGGGTTCCTTGGATAACACGTCATTGGCTGCTTATAATGTGGGTTCCTTGGATAACACGTCATTGGCTGCTTATAATGTGGGTTCCTTGGATAACACGTCATTGGCTGTTTATAATGTGGGTTCCTTGGATAACACGTCATTGGCTGCTTATAATATTGGTTCCTTAGATAACACGTCATTGGCTGCTTATAATATTGGTTCCTTGGATAACACGTCATCGGCTGCTTATAATGTGGGTTCCTTGGATAACACGTCATTGGCTGCTTATAATGTGGGTTCCTTGGATAACACGAGGGAGCATGGTAGTTAGCTCCGCCCCCTCCCACAGTCCTCCTGTAAAAGCAGGCACACAGAAGGGGAAGGGGGGGACAAAGAGACAGAGGGGTAATAGAGACGGGGATGGGGGGGACAAAAGAGAGACACCAGGGTAATAGAGGAACACCAGGGAAGGGACAAAAGAGACAGAGGGGTAGTAGAGACAAGGGGTTGGGGAGGTCAAAGAGATGGGTAATAGGAGGCACAGGAGAAGGGGGACACAGAGACGAAGATGGGGTAATAGGGGCATCAGGGAAGGGGAGGACAAGAAAGGGGTATATAGAGACACCAGGAAGGGGGGAACAAAGAGTCAGGGGGTAATAGAAGGAGCACTTAGGGGTTGGGGGACAAAGTGATGGGTAATAGAGAGACACAGGGACAGATGGGGTAATAGAGAGACACCAGGGAAGGGGGGACAAAGAGACAGAGGGGGGACAAAGAGACAGAGGGGTAAGAAAGAGACAGAGGGGTAAGAAAGAGACACAGGGAGGAGAAGGGGAAGAGAAACACAAGGTTTGTTGGGGGACGAAGAGACATACAGTAGGGAAGGAGAACAAAGTGACAAGATTTGTGGGAGGCAACACTGGGCTGGGGAAAAAGAGACAGAGTAGCTGGGAGAAGAGAAAGAGGCACACAGAGTCTGGAGTTAGAGACACACAGATGAGATTTGGAAGGGGAGAAAGAGACAAAGTGGCTGGGGCTAAGAACAACACAAAAGGGGCTGGGGGAAAGAGAAATACAGAGGCTGGAGAAGGGTAAAGAGAAACACACAGGGACTGGGATGAAGTAAAAGATGCACAAGGGTCGCTGTAAGAGAAAAAAAGGAGACAATTAGAGACAAGATACACTAAACGAGGTAAAGGTAATAGACGTAAATTGATGTGATCCTGACAGTAATACACACACATACAGGGAGTGCAGAATTATTAGGCAAATGAGTATTTTGACCACATCCAGGGCCGGACTGGGGATACAAAGCAGCCCTGGAAAAAAAATTTGTGCCAGACCCATAAGTCACTGCGCCATATATTGTCGCGTGTAATATGTAAGGCTATGTCTTGCCAGGACAGATGATTGAGTAATATATATATATATATATATATATATATTGCTTTTTCTAATATAAAATATTGGTCCTTTCAGGGTAAAATGTTTAATTATACAGTAAGCATACGCACATGCAGACACAGGCAATTTCACTGACATTTCAGTGACACACACAAGCTCATTAATACACAGCCTCATAGACAAACAATCTTACTGATATACATCAGCTCATTGACATAAAAACACAGGCTCACTCACTAGCAGGCACACGCATGCAAGCAAGCTCACTCACTAGCAGATGCACACACACAGCTTAATGTGGTGGTACTGGTGTCTATAGCATGTCCCTACAGGCTTTTCAACGTAAACACTGAATTTTCAGACAAAAGGCAGTGTTTACATTGCTTCAAAGTGACACTGCTAGTGACAGTCACTCAGACGGTCACTAGAGGTGCTTCCTGTGTTAGTGCCCTCCAGCCCTCGCGCGCTGCTGAATGAGACTGGCGCCGGAATATGACGTCATATTCCGGCGCCGGTCTCATTCAGCTGCGTGCTGGGGAGCAGAGCCAGCGCAGCTCGCGCAGCTCCCTCAGCGGCCACTAGGACAAGTCCGCCAGCGGCCGCCAAAAGACCTCCCCAGCGGCCAGGGGAGGGCTGGCAGCCTTAGGCCTGGGGGGCAAAACCAGTCAAGTAGACTGGTGCACCTGCCCAGGATCAGAGCCGGTGCAAGGATTTTTGCCGCCCTAGACAAAATAAAAATTTGCTGCCCCCACATAGAAACATAGAAACATAGAATGTGACGGCAGATAAGAACCATTCGGCCCATCTAGTCTGCCCAATTTTCTAAATACTTTCATTAGTCCCTAGCCTTATCTTATAGTTAGGATAGCCTTATGCCTATCCCACGCATGCTTAAACTCCTTTACTGTGTTAACCTCTACCACTTCGGCTGGAAGGCTATTCCATGCATCCACTACCCTCGTCACATCACAATGCCCCACCCATATGACCTGCCATATGAACTAACGCCAGTGCTGCACACAGTGTGTGTTTACATTAAAAAGCCTGCAGGGACCAGCTATAGACACCAGAACCACTTCATTAAGCCATAGTGTCCCTTTAATGTGGGGTACATTATAGATTAGTGTCACTAATAATATACTAGATTGCCTACTTACAAGCAGATGAGGATGATGATGGGCTGCAGTTTGGCTCCACTGGTCTGGTGTAGAACAGGATCTCTGGAGGCTGTTTGCAACTGTGGTCACAAAATTCAATGTTGTGGGAGAATTGGAAGCAGCTCAATTTTTGGGGGACCCCTTACACAGCTCAAGGTCTGGGCCCCAGGGCCTGACGGTGAGTATGCCCATAAGGCCCACTCATAAGTTCCACCCCCCCATGAGTTCGCTCACAGGGAGTGGAGTGTGTAGGGGATGTGTTATGTGTGTTGTTTAGCCAGGATCTAATATGTGTGCTTATGGTATGTAGTGTATGGGGTTACCAGTTTGTGCAGGTGATGTAGTGTGTTTGTGTGTAGTGGAAGCAGTGTGTATTTGTGTATAAGGGATGTATTATGTGTTTCTGGTTGTGTGTAAGGGATGCATTGTGTGAATCTGTGTTTGTATGCATAAGGAATGCAAGGTGTGTGTCTGTATGTGTGTGCATTGAGTGTAAGAGATGCATTGTGTTTCTGTGTGTATGTAAGAAAAGAAGTGTGTGTGTTTGCATGTGTGTATACGGGTTTGCATTGTCTGTTTCTGTGTATGTGTGCAAAGGATGCATTGTCTTTGTGTGTAAGGGTTGCATTGTGT